TTTTTACGATGACTGGACAAAGAAGACAATGAGAAGGAATGTCAAAGAAAAATGCCTGTTGTGTAAGAACATCATCGCGGCTACACATCACACACACTCTGTGGTTTTTCTAATTACCGCGGTATTTTCGAGTTTTACCAAATTTCGATTAAGAACCCGAACATTTCCAGTCTTGGCGAAACGCAAATTCGCCGCGTCAAATTTATAGAATACTTTTTCGTGGTCAGGAAATAGAAGTCGACAACCTCGCTCCCAGTCTGACAAATTGGTGGCTGTTATTAAAAATAATGTTCGTTTCTTTTTGAAGTTGAAAGTTCTGACAGCGTTATACAATGAAAAAGTCATGGACTAGCAAATCCAAATGCGTAACTAAAAATTTTTAAATTCAGAGCTGTACGTCTAAACAATCGCGCGCGCGAAGGTTGCAAATCCTACAAAGCGGAAAATTCATGCAAATCTAATTGCGACCTTACATAACGTGCGATAATTACTACAACAAATATCAAAAATATAAAACTGTACGTGCAGATGCGCAGTAGGTACACCCAACATTTATTCCTTATTTGTAAAAGAGGAGGAAGGGATGTCAAGGGCTAACTTGGTTCAGCAGTTCAGTAGGTAGTCAGCTGGGCTGGATGTTTGGTATATTCGGTTCGAGAGTGTGTCTTAATAATTTTTTTTTCGGCCCCCTGGCCCTTTTACCCGCCCTTTTTTGTAACGCGAATACGGTAAGTGTTTGAATAACTACTCCATTTTTGTAAATCGCTATTAGTGTATTTATCGGGGTTTTGAAGGTCGACGATCAGCTGATCAATTTAAAGGGCCGTTCGTCTTCCGGAAGTAGGGCTGACAAAGAAAAACATACCCGTATTGAGTATTAAATTCGCAGCAGGTGCATTTCTTTGTTGGGAAATAAACTTCTTTGTCCTTTCTTTCGAGCTATTCACAACAAGCATTTCGATCGATGATAGAATTGCGTAGGGTTGACAGAGATACCTAATATCGCTACATGAAAAAGGGATAGTTTGTGCGCAGGTTAAACTAGCCCGGTGTTCCTGCAAGCGGGGGGTTTGTCTTTTTAAAATAGAATTTCAGTCTTTCTAAGCTGATAAGTGAAAATCTGACCGTGACATTTTTGTAAACGTTGATTAATAAAACATCTCGGTGCAGATAGTTGTATAAATAGCAAAAAAAGGGGTTGTCAAGGGCAACCGCTGATGCCATCAAAGTCGTAAAGTTAGCAATTGCGAAATCGAAATGTAATCGTCTACTTTATAGCTAATAGTCGACGCTCATTTCTCATTAAAGCCAACTTTTAAGCTAAACAAAAACGACGTAATCATCAGATATGAACTTAATGAACTATTATACAATTTATGGTACCTACGCCTGTAGCATATTATGCCCTATTAAAGTTGCGCCAAAATTGTAACGCAAATGCAAACATGCAATCCCTACGATAGTAGCTAATCGCTTATTGAATGATTTTTCGTGGGGAGCTACTATGCCTTAGAAAGTGGCATCTTTCAAAATGGACGTGACGTAGACGTAGACAGATAAAAATGCCATTGTTAGATTTAATGATTCTTTTCTAATTTCCTCATAAGTTGAAAAAATTTATTTTTTCTCCAACCACCTGAATAAGACGCTATTTTGTGACAGTGTTCGGTACCTAAAATTGACGTTTTGCGGATTAATTGCTTTCACCATGGCAACTGTACAAAAAGTGGATACTTTTGGTCCTAGTACCAAAAAGAAATTGACCTTGAAAATTGGCCAATTAAAAAATTACAATCACGGAGATATGTCACATTGACATCGTTTTACATTGCAGGTTGTAAGATATTTCTATACATACAAATCAAATATTTTTGCATATTCAATGCAAATAATGATGTTACCTATACGTATGTACATGTATTGAAAATGATTTACGCTCGCTATTTTTATTTAAACCATGTGTAACGTAATTTAGATATTCCGTGAATGTAATTTTAATACGTATACAACCCGCCGTCGCGCGTAACGCCATCTACTTCAGACCCATTGCACTATTATCTGTCATTTTGAATTCAAAATTTGAAAAAGTTAATTGCAATTAATTTTAATTAAAAAACTGTATGGTAAGTATTTTATTTCAATACAAAATATAACAATATTAATTGTGTATACAATAAAATGACTGAAACTGATAGCGACATGGATTGCACTCCGCCAGAGATTATAGAAACGGCAGAACATGCTACCTCAAGATTTGCTCCCTACAAAGTCGCGAGAGGTGAGAAGTAAGAAGTAAGAACGAATAGGTTATAAGTTAACCTAAAAACTAGAGTGGCATGACACGTGAGGACAAGAAAGCAGAAGTTCTTATACTATAGTAGTGAAACTGTGACTGAATCTAAATTCGAATATAATTTGAAGTACAGGGGGTTGGAGAAAAAATTTTATGTTTTATTCGTACAAAAAATGCGTTTTCGGGACTCGGAAGGTTGCTGGACTCCGCTAACGCGTCGTCCAGCAACTATCTTCCTCGTCCCGAAAACTGACATTTTTTGTACTAATGAAACAAATAACTATTGTAGTAGATGTTAATTGGCATTTTAACAGTAATGGTAGATAAACTGAAACAAATGATTGTGCATTCTAATGACATCTGTCATGTGGCCGCGGGGCACGAAATAAAATGAAGTTCAGAATAGAATACAATATTGTTGCGATGTAAAAGACCTACGCTTGGTTTGACATCTAAAGTAAATTCAGAATTTTCAGAAGATCTTAGTAATGATTTCTATATTGGTTTTCGTGATGAGTGTAGGCGTATTTTTTCTACACTAGGAATTCTATCATGCATATTTATTTTAGACTGTGTGAGTTATGTCAAATACAAATTTGAACAATATGCATTAGTTTCGAAAGTACACAGCCATAATACATCTGTGCCAACATATGTGAAAGAGATAACCAACAGTAGAATATCGATCATGCGCACTGAGTAAATCCAAACGGGTTACCTGACGCTAATAAGCCCCCCAGGTGCGATCCACAATCTTAATTGAAAGTTCAATTCATTTCGTCGAAAGTGAGGTTATATTAGTCCAAATTTCATGTTTTTTTTCAGTTGGTAGTGGTGTTCTTAACATTCCTGAGTGCCAACTTTAATTTTTTAAGAGGTTATGTTTTTTTCACGATTTAATAAACGTTAAACAATGATATACAACTATTATACATGTGCTTTTAATTATACCATAATAGCAGAAAGTAGTTCTCTACATGAGGTATTCCTTCCCCTCTCAACTGTATAAGGCGGTGGATGCTAAGCAGGGATTCATACGGAAAAGGCGTTCCAAGTTAATCGGTGATCGCTAACAAAGAGGCGATCTATGGAAGGTGCATGAGATGTTCCTTCCCCTCTCGACTGTAGAAGGCGGTGGATGCAGGGATACATACGGAAAAGGCGTTAATCGGCGGCCGATACGAACGAATTGGTATATGAAACTTTGAAACATGTAGGAAGTGCCCGAGTTCCCCTCTCGGTGATCGATGCAGAGAATTCGATCTTTGCCAAATGCAACTTGTAACCTTCTCTACGACATTGTTCTTCCCTAAAGCTTTCAAGTTTACACTGACGCTTCGAAAAGTGGCGTTATTAAAGTGTATCCACATGTGACATGGAAGTGTCGCTTATTTGACGTTTAAGTCGAACATAACCTAAAATTGTATTGCGTATTATACCTGCTAGGCTGTTATAACACTTTTATTACATTAACTGTTAATATACACGTTAAATTAAGCATATTTCAATTTAGTAGACCAAGTAAACACAACCTCTTACGAAAATTAGCTGGCACCTTTTGTTTATAAAGAATAAAGAAAGCTGTCACTTAATTTTTCGGTTTAGCCAACTTCAGAATGACGAAATATGAGTAAAATAACACCAGATTTCCAGGAACCGATGAGAACGTTTAATTAAGATTGTAGAAAATTATTTTTTTATTGAAAACGCCTAATTAGTAATTAAGGTGCCCTCTAACCATTTTTATTAATTTCATGATCATACCTGGGGGGCTTATTAGTGTCATGTACGCACTTAACACTTTCCCTGCATTTCACTGGCCTGTGGCGTGTTCTTTTCTCATAAAGAGGTTTACGGTGATGTATGAGTAGTTCACATCTGGCGCATTTGAAATTCTTACTTGTCTTGTGTATTAATAAATGTGTTTTAAAATTGGATTTTTACTTGGAGACATAATCACACCGGTTACATTTTAAATCCTTGGCAGGTTCATGTCTTAACAAAACTAAATAGATGTGCTTTAAGACTGGATTTCTGTTTGGTGACTGAGCAACTGTAAATCCTTGGTGATCTATTAAATGTGTTTTATAATTAGATTTATCATTCGTTGCGTAGTCACACTGGACACATTTTTAATTCTTGGCAGTCTCGTGCGTTAAAATGCTATTCCGCATGCGCACTATTCTACTTACGGTGCAAAATATATCTTTCTCTGTGTTCGGGTATGTTGGCACAGATGCTCCTTATTGAAAGTAAATTAGAGGCTACAATTATGTTTGTAATTATGGTCTAAGCCTGGGTCAAACGAGCGAACAAACTAATTGAACACTGTCCAATAGCTAGAAAATAATGTCACAAACCCTCGTGGTACACAGTGTATATTTTAGCAATGGAATAATTTGGGCGAGGACTTTGACGTGCAGACACTATACACACAGCCTTGGTGACTTAATATATTATTAACCCTACACGAATTATAATCGGTGGCTTGCGTCCTGAACACAATAAAATATTAATTGGTGTTTTGATGATAACCTTTTGACCACATCCTCTCACGATAGGAATATTTTGACGGTAAGCAGTGAACTATTAATTTGAAGGTGAAAGAAAATTCATCTATCGAAAATAGTACTAATGTGTCATATCCTTTCCAGGACTAAGCATGCAATGATAATGTTAATAGGTCAATCACGTTCATTGCACTTACCTATATTCGTAGTAATGGCCTCGTGTTTTTGTAGCTCCCCGTCTGAAAATAACACCTTCGTTATTACGTTTGATTCTGTATTTAAGGGTGCATATTTAATCGTCCCTCTTTCATTAAATGGCACATTTCACAATGAATGTCGTTGATTATTGGGGCGGTGCGTAAGTAGTTAACTAGACGTGTACTGGGGTTGTATTGTTTTTCTTGGTGTGCGGTCAATAAATGCCGAGAACTTAAGGGCAGTGACCATAGACAGGGCCGCATTATCCTCGCATTGTGCAATGTATTGAAACTCATGTAGTTTTATTTATTTTTATAGTTAAAAAAAACAATTCTATAACGTTTTCGAATTCTTCCTAACCTTGGATACCATTTCGCCAACTTGCATTTATGCCATTTTGTGTAAACAAGAAGTATGAAATGCATACAGGTAGACAAAATAATGCATGCACCAATGCATAACCTTGAAAATAAGGTGAAACAGGGGTTATGCTATTTAAAAATGTTGGGGTCATCACACCCTAAAGAAACTCCCCAGTGTATGAAAGTTTTAAACCATCTCAAAATGTAGTTTTTATGATCCTTTAGACCCTTACCACAAATTTTGAGATTTGTCTTCGCTCGTTTGAAACTTATTAGACCGTTTCGGGACTTTTCGAAAACCTTATATTTTATATATCGATTGTTCAATATTTCGTGAGTGGAGCGCTGCTACAGGGCTGTTGGTCACTAATTTCAACACGTTGTTGCCAATTTCGGTAAGCATAGCTCGACAGCGGTGCTACCCCTTCTTTCTTTGCATTGATATGTCAGGGTTGGAACGTATGTACATAGGTCGGTGTCACCTTGTCCTGTAGTCGAGCGCATCAAAATGTCAAACACTCAAAACTTAAGGAAGTTAGGCTTAGACCCATGTGAATTTGGCCCCGCAACTTGACAAAAATGTGTCGACAGTTAGTGTTACTGCTACATTAGTGCTCTTTAGTGTTCGAAGCTTATCGTTAGTGCTGCTATATAATATGAGAAAAATTAAAAAATCCGGAGCGGGGCCAACTTCACACTCAGCATTTCATCTTTCCAAGAAAAACGAAAAAAACTAAAATTTTGTGAATTTGGCTCGACCAATGACTCGTTTACAAAAAAAAACTAATGCGATCGTTAGTGCTGTTTTGTGCTCAAAGATTACGATTCCAACGTTTTTCGTTTCCGAGAAAAAAAAATAATATAAAATATTGTGTGAAGTTTACCAAATTTATGACTGGTTTAAAAAAACATATCAGCAGTCACATTATAATTCTGGGTTGTAATTATACTTTATGAACAAAATTTATACGTATTGGGTGACCCAATAAGTCTGTTCCTCGGCCATATCTCGAGAACCGTTCGTCATATGACTTAGCGGTAAAAAATTATTGGGTAAATCGGTCATGAAGAATCGTTGGAAAATATTTTCAAGGTCTAAAAATGACCAACAGAGGGCGTAACTGCCATCTTAAATTTTAAAATTGCATTTTCTTTAAATTTCGCATAATAAACTAAAAATTTTTTTTAACATTTTTAAAGAGAACCAGTTTACCTATCATTTTCGTAAAAACAAAAACTCAGTTATTTCAAAAACAAAGATGGTGTGGGGCGTTCAATTGTTTTTGCAGTATCCTGCTTTAACTTCTTAACCGTTTGACCGATTTTAACAAATTTGGTATGGGTGAAAAGCGCATTCTTTGGGCAATGAGAATCAACCAAAATATAGTTAATTTAGTTGAATCCTTCTCCGCCAGGGTGCTAGTTTTGACACCATGACCCAAAATCCTAAAAAAATTAAATGGAATGATATGACTTTTTCTTTATGAAAAAATAGCCAAATAACATCCAAAGAGGCCAGTGAAAACCGTTTCTCAAAATCTCGTTCCTAACCTCAAATATTGGGAAAATGAGATTAATTAATTAATTAATAACAATGCTTAAATTGTATCTTAAATTTACTTTTTACGTATTTCCGGTGTTTGTCGATTGCGCGAAATAAAAGCACCCTACACTTTTAGGTAGGCTTTGGAAAATTAAACAAATGAAACACTTGTAATCTTTTCTAAAATGCCGATTTCTAACCAAGAAGCATTTAATATGCTGGCGATATATTTTGAGTATTTTCAAAATGCGACCATCGCACCACATCTTCTATTGGCGTTATCCGAATCGACCACGAACCATCGCCCCCAGCATATTAAATGCTTCTTGGTTAGAAATCGGCATTTTAGAAAGGATTACAAATTCAAAAAACTGCACTTTCTGAATGTAAACACAGCAGAATAATTTCCAAATTACGGCTGTTATTATTTTATAATGCATCGTGTTTCATTTGTTTAATTTTCCAAGGCCTACCTAAAAGTGCAGGGTCCTTTTCCAAACAATCTTTCGCGCCATCGACAAATACCGGAAATACGTCAAATAAGATACAATTTAGGCATTTTTATTTCATTTTCCCAATATTTGAGGTTAGGAACGAGATTTTGAAAAAGGGTTTTCACTGGCCTCTTTGGATTTTATTTGGCTACTTTTTCATAAAGAAAAAGTCATATCATTCCATTTGATTTTTTAAGGATTTTGGGCCATGGTGTCAAAACTAGCCCCCTGACGGAGAAGGATTCAACTAAATTAAATATATTTTGGTTGATTCTCATTGCCCAAGGAATGCTCTTTTCAACCATACCAAATTTGTTAAAATCGGTGGAACGGTTAAGAAGTTAAAGCAGGTTATTGCAAAAACAATTGAACGCCCCACGCCATCTTTGTTTTTGAAATAACTGAGTTTTTGTTTTTACCAAAATGATAAACTGGTTCTCTTTGAAAATGTCAAAAAAATTTTTTAGTTTATTATGCGAAATTTAAAGTTACGCCCTCTGTTGGTCATTTTTAGAACTTGAAAATATTTTCCAGCGATTCTTCATAACCGATTTACCCAATAATTTTTACCCCTAAGTCATACGACGAACGGTTCCCGAAATATGTCCGAGGAACAGTCATTAGGTCACCCGGTACCCTGCCCGGTACACAGTAACCCATGGCAGATAATTATTGCTGTATTCATGTTACGTCATGATAAATTTAATTGTAAAACTAGATCTTTCTCAAAATAAACCGTACAAAATATTAGAAAACATTGAAAGACTTTATCTATCGATCTTGATTGAAGAGATATTCGGAATCGTAATCTTTGAGCACAAAACAGCACTAACGATCATATTTTTTTTCTTAAAAACCAGTCATGGGTGGGGCCAACTTCACACAATACTTTAGTTTTTTTCGTTTTTCTTGGAAAGATAAAATGCTGGAATTGCAATTTTAAGCAGAAAACAGCACTAACCTAGCACTAACAATCACATGTGGTTTCATCTAATTAAAAATGTATGGGCGGGGCTAACTTCACACTTGACTTTTTTAGGAACAGCGAAAAAGTTTGAGATACTGGGTGTCTGGCATTTAATAGCACTAACATACCACTACCGCCGTGTGCGTTCGATATTTCGATAAATAAAAGTTTTTTAGTGTGAAGTTGCCCCCCCCCCCCCCCCGTTTTTTCCGCTTCCGTTAGAGGAATATGCCATAACAATTTAAGAAAATCGTTTCTCCAATGAAGTTATTAGATTCTGCGTAATGCGATTTTTGACCTATATGTACGTTTTATTTGCGTTTATTAGAAAGACGTAAACGTTTCAAAAAATTGCTCTACACATGCAGAAATTGGTTTCTGCAGATGTTAGCAAAGGGCCTGAACTCGATAGCCATTGCCGTTCGCGAGAACGTGTAATTAGACCAGCTTGTAAATATACTTCGAAACTCCTCTCTTCTAAGAACACGTGCGTGAATTAAATTTCGTCTGATAAAAACTAAATACATAAATCTAAATAATCAATTTACAAAAGCGATAAGATTTAAACAAGAAAATAATAGGCAATTACAAGCAATTCTAAAAGGAAAAATAGATACTGAGATAACACATTCAAGTAAAGTAACCCAACCTTGTGCTATTATTTACACTTAATAAATTGAACTATTATCACATACAGGGTGGTAAGAACAGGATTAGTTATGGGTGTTTGGACTCAATCCTAGACACGCCATCGCTTGACCCGGATGCCAAGTAAGATTGAATGTTATTTCCACCCCTCTCACCCCCTCCCCCTCCCCCATTCACGAGTGCAAATTATGCTAATATTTTATGATCATTTTACCGCCTTTTTGTTTGTTTGTTTGTTTGTTTTTTGTACATTCTTCGCCCGTTGGACCCTAGCATGCTCCTTTACATAAACAGCCTTAATTGGTAAATACATTGATTTCCGTGAAATGTGGTGGCAGATGACTACCGTAATATTTTAAATATCAATGTTGTATCAATGAAGATCCAAGAGGTAATCTCAGTTATGTGACGATTTGTGTTGTTAATACATTTGTAATGTGGACACCCTGTATAGTAAATATGACATTGACACTATTTTCTGAAAGTTGTTTTGTTTGCATTCATAAATTTACTGTTCCGAATCCATCCTAATTTGCCAAGTGCAATTAGTGCACAATAAAGCGGCCTTGATACAGAATCTACCTGGTAACGGAGAAAATTTAGCGTTTAATGACCCGTTATCTTATCGTGTGTCAAATTCATTTTTTGCTGTCGTATTATTACACTCATCAAACGTTATTACGCCTAATAACCTTTATTAAACTTTCCGCAGTTCGCGCAATGCCTAGCAATCTTTAATTTCATTGGAAGTCGACCGAGCGTGTATGTGGGTTACGAGTGAATATATAAACAAACAAATAAATTTGAACACATTAAAAAAGTCCAAACACGGAGAGAAACCATTAATAAATTTCAATAATTCTATTCGAAAGATGTTCACGTTGGCGATCGTCTGTAGTCCACGCAAAAGGTGCGTGTCACTAACGCTTTTTATAGTAGTACCATTCGTGCGATGCGTGATTTATCGCGAACAAAGAGACTTTAATTAGGACAAAATAATTAAAATTTCGCGTCGCGCGCCCAAAACCACTAACGCCCTCTACGTCCACGAGCGATCGTTTCGCATCGGACCAGCCGTCTGCGGGCCTTAAATCATCTCAGGGTTTTCCTAAATTTAGTGCGAAACCTCAAGGTGATCGAGTGTATGTCTTTAATTAAGCTGTCACAGTCCCTTTTTATTCAACAATTCGGAGAAATTTGCCGATGATTGACGTCAAAATTCCATTGGCTGAGGCTCAGTTCTCATCCTCGCTGACAAGTGAAATGAATAAAACGATTTGCGTATACACGAGCGCATTTGGTAGGTAATTTTGGCACAGTTGTTGCATTTTTTGAAATCTCAACCAGCAAGTCTGATTTTAGGTTGGACCATTGCTCATTTTCAGCATTACAAATCGCGTATATCAACAACACATATTAAATCCGCTCTTTTTTGGCATACAAAGATGTACATGATTACATTAATTTTTGGGTCAAAATCAGCGTCGGATTAAGGGGCGAGGTAGGGGGGTTGCACCCCCGTGATCCCAGCTTTCCAATCCACACACCTCAAGTTACGAGTAGGTACCTATTTTTAAGATTGCAAATGTATTTATGTATTATGAAAGGTACAAATTAAAAATGTGCAAAATCCGTAGCATTATTTAACTATTTATTGACCATTTCCAACTCGTGACAAAAACCATGCAACAAGCGATCGATTAATTTATTATTAATCAAAAGAAATGTTAATTACCTTAAGTGTTAATGTAAAATTCCGTTGTACCTGCGATTTTCAACGAGCAGACGCACTTCTTGAAGACCTGCAAGCTCGAGACCACTGCTTTAGGTTTGATTCCTCTCGAACCGGGTGCATTACAAATACCAACTCCGGCAATAGATCGACCAGGAGCAATATGGTCAAATTGAATCACCGCCTTGGCGCCTTTAGAACAAACTACTTTGTTGGGGTCTGTAGATGCTTGTGCTGAGAGGACATTATTTCGTTTTAGGCTTAATTAAAGCAAAGTAAAAACGGGAACTTATAGTTAGGTAGTGAAATTAATATTGTTACATTAGATTTGGCACTTCCGCAACAGTATCCTTATCCAAGGGCACCTCCCCATTCAATTTTAATTAGAGTTACACACTTACTTTAAACGACATATTACATCAATCTCTCCAATTTTCTTCTGTAAAACTTTACAGTTAAACAAGACTGACTGTCTTTTCGATAATACGCTCAAATAACGGCAAATCTGACAAACACGCAAAAAATAATAAACGGCTACGTTTCAAACGTCCTACAAACCAAACACGCAAATTTCCGTTTCCAATTTCTTAACAAATTAATGCGGCATTGAACGTTAAGTTGCACCTGTGTTTACTTATTTTAAAACTAATTAGCTTACGCCGCGATAACAAAACTTTTTATCTACAACCGGAGATCAACTATTACAAATCCTACGTAATTATTTCCAGATGTTTAAATCTAGTCTTTTAATAACACTTAATAAAATTGAAAAAATAAATAAAATACAATTCACCTGTCATATAGGGTGATCCATCGCGTTATAGGTGCTGAAGCCTATTATATGGGGAAAACGGAGATAGAAATCGCAAAAACTAAAAAGAAGTGTGCCTTTAAGATAAATCCTTATAAAGCATTTTCCCGTATCTTTGCAAAACGTTGCTCTTGTAAGCAGCTTTGAAAAGAATTGCTTTAAATATGCAAATATCGTGGTACAGAGACAAAAAAATTAAAATATGTACAGGGTGGCCAACTAAGAAAGCGAGGTACTGTACGTGAGAACCTATCCATCGTAGAGGCTTGCGGTAAAAACAGTTATTACTAAAACGGCCACGAGAAAAACCTGAAAATATTTTTAAGTTTCTGAAATGGCCGCTAGGGGGCGTCACTGCAATCTGGAATCTAAAAAAATGATGTTTCTGTGAATTCCGCTATATTAACAAAAAAATGCCCGGTCTTTGAAGTCGACGATAATGTGAACCTTTTTTGTTTGACAATTATTGCTGTATCTCTAAAAATGAAGTGGTTTCCGTAAAGAACACGCTGTATCTTCCAAACGGCTAAGCCGATTTAAACAAACTCGGGTTAGTTCAAAAGAGCTATTCTTCAGCTACAAATATTATATTTGAAGTTTTGTTAGTTTCACATATCACCGCTTGAGGGCTTTTTTAGACATTCCAACAGAAATGATTTGATTAATTTTCTCAAAAAAATTAAATGCATTGGTTCGATTTTTTGAAAAAGTAGCCTAAACAAGCTCGCGAAAACTGCATGTCGATATCTCGAGATATTTATTGGTCAGCATTTCGAGCATTTACGGCGGCATTAAAAGTTTCCTTTTTTAAATCAATCCACTTTAGGGCCATAAATTATATGATAAAAATAATTCCGAAAAAATTAGCTTAAAAAAATAAAAATTTGAGGGTATACAATTTTTTTTTGGCCTGAATTTTAGGTTAGGAACAAGATATCGAGATGCGGTTTTTAAGAAAATTAACCATTTCTGTCGGAATGTCGTAAAAAGCCCTCAAGCGGCGATTATGTGAAACTAACAAATCTTCAAATATTATATTTGTAGCCGAAGAATAACTCTTTTCAATTAAACCGAGTTTGTTAAAATTCGCTCACCCCCCACTTCATGTTTAGAGATACAGCAATAATTGTCAAACAAAAAAGGATCACATTATCGTCGACTTCAAAGACCGGGAATTTTTTTAGTTAGGTTAATATAGCGGAATTCACAGAAACATCACTTTTTTAGATTCCAATAAAGTCACTAGATATAGAAAGTACCGCAATCATCCGCCATTTTTGGGCAAATTTGCTGCCAACTTAAAAAAATTGACAAATAAAATCTGAATAGCTGTCATTTTTTATAACCTAACTTCATAGTACTGTCATGTTTTATAAAAATATATACAGATATCTCTAAAAAGGTGGAACAATCCCTAACATTAAAGTTACTAGGATCTGGTAACTTCTGCCATTTTTGGGCAAAAATCATGCGTTCTCTCTCTAACACACGAGCCCAATAGATTGCGATACTTTCTATATTTAGTGACTTTAGATTCCAGAGTGCAGTTACGCCCCCTAGCGGCCATTTCAGAAACTTAAAAATATATTCCAGGTTTTTCTCGTGACCGTTTTAGTAATAACACACACAGTCCCTCGCATTCTTAGTTGGCCACCCTGTACACGTAAAAAAATGCCGCCACTTGCTGGCGATTACTCTTGGAGGAAAACCATGTTGACCAATGCCTTGAGTAAAAAACAAATTTTAAGCGCTAAATTCAACCTGTCCCCAAATACCCGATAATACTTTTTCAAAACCGAATCTTTAAGAGTTCTTTACCATTTTTTCAAAACCGAATCTTTAAGAGTTCTTTACCATTTCCATCCAAATGGTTGAAAAGGATGGTCTGTACAACATTCTAGGCCTCGTAAAATGAATGGCTCCTTTGATTTGAAGTTGAAATAGGGTCACACGGCCATCGTAAAAAATTACATGATCCGACGTCAAACTCTCAATGCCATGTAGATATTACTAGAAATACCAGAACAGAGCGCAATCGACTACTTCAGACGTGCGGAGAATTAACTCATAAAGGTCGCTTGTTCGTAGTTCTACTTTATTCAAGGTTACACGATTTTGGTTCATTGTGGATTAAAAACTTCCACTAATGTTCGTATTTAACGTAATCATTTTTCAGTCGTAAATTACTTTGTCACTAAAAACCTTAAGTTTTAAGTACTCGCTACTGTAAGCGCTCAAAATTTCTTCGCAAATAATGCACACTCTCGATTATTAGAGTTGTCATACCAATATATCAAAAAACACTGCAGCAAAACGCCTTAATTGCGCCAACGGCTCGAAGAGTTTGAATAACGCGAAATAAAACCCACCCTACGATACACTACCGGTGGTAATTTAACTTCACACGCAGCTCAACTTGAATTTTGCCCTAATAAAGAAATCCTACACTAATTTACACGTGACCCTGGTCGCTTTACGCTAATTGACGGTTCTTCGTTGGTTCTAGAGCTCTCGCGATTCGACACGAATTCTCTCACGGTCCTATGCCAATTGTCTCCTGAAATCAAATTACTTAGCGGCTTAGCGCCAATAAATCGACTCAACGTGGAGTCATTTCAGGAGGGTCTTGCAAAACTCGCACTACGTAGCAGCCTCGATAACGACCACTGCAAATTAAACAATGTCTTACCTGTAATCCAAACTAATCATGCCACTTCCCACGACTCACCGGCGCCGTAAGCTTTCAAACGCACTTAAATAGTCAGAACCGCGTATTTTAGGATCCCATACCACATCGAAAAAAATTAATCAAATCTGATAACATCCGTTACAATGGACAGTAATGAAGGACGAAAAAATAGAAGCCTTGGAAATAGTGTGGGGAAGGATTTTGAAGATCGATTGGAAAAACAGAGAGGAGATCAATCATCGGCACCATTAACAAAAGAAATAGAAATTGATTTGGTCACGTGTTGAGACACAATTGTTTGTTAAGATGGGAGGAACTGTGGCTGGAAGAAGGAGCAGAAGAAGGAGAAAGGTGAAGATGATGAACGACCTGAAGGAAGGGAGAAAAGTTTACGTAATAATGAAGTGGAAGATACAAGATGATGATGAGAACTTCTATGAAAAGAAATTGATAAGAGACATTACTGGTGTCTCTCGTTGACTACCCGACCCGCAGAAGGTATTTCAGAAGCCTAAATGTTGTAACATTGCCTTGTTTGTATATTTTTGAAATTTGTGTACACTTACAATGGAGAAGTATAGAACAGGAACTCAAAGCACAATGAGAACTTCTAAAAATCTTTACATTCCATTTTCAAAGTGTGATATTTTTTTATAATTTGAAAAACCTGACTAATCCTATAAAAAAAATTCAAAAAGGATTAAATTATTATTATGGTCGGTGTTTCTTGTGAGAACTCAGGCTAGCCTGGTTAACTAATCGCACGGATTAAAATCAAGTAACGATTAGCGTTCGTCTGTACGGCGTTCGTATAGATAATAATATTATTATTATTACTACAGTTACTGCTCCATGTACAGGGTGAGTCAACGATTACGCGGAGTTACTTAATTTCTTGAAGATAAGATTTCTCGATAGAGTGCTTTTGTATTATGATATGGTTGAATATTCTCTACATTTTAAAAATATTTGGAATTATACAGGGTACGCACACAAAAAAGGGTGCCAAAATGGACCATTTTTTAAAATAGAACTTCCTGTATTTGAATGCATTTTTGAATTCTACGCGTAATTGTACGTCTTTTTTATTATATGGTTAATATCCGAAAAACTAGTAGTTTTAAAGATAATTCGATTTGTAAGAAAAATTGGGCATTTCCAATTGTTAGTATATTGTCAAAATTATTACTTAAATTTTGATTCCAGGTTTTATATTTTTTATCCTGGGTTAAGTAAAAGTCAAATAAATACATCTACTATGAAACATTAAAAAAATAGCTTACAGGGTGTTTTGTTTTGTAGATCCAAAGTTACAAAAGTTCATATTAAAAAAATCTCACTTTTTTTTAATGGAACAACCTGTATATTTTTCTGTCATCTTTTAGCTCTTCCAAAAACCTTCCAACTTTTGGTAATAATGTCCTATACCTATCTCTGATATTTTTCTGGTTTTTATATTCTAATCTTAAATAAGTTATATCTATGTAATTTACATAATAACGAGGTGGCCATGCAAAAAAAAGGCAATTTTTATCTGCCTCGTCCAAAGCTAAAATCATATTTATTAAATCATTTTTCGAATAATTCATTTAAGTCTAAAAACTGGAGAATAAATTTGATAGTAAAAACATAAACAAATATCGTGGTTTTCCTAGTTTTTATATTTTAATCTGAAATAAGTTCTAATTTACATAACGAGGTGAATATGAAAAAAAATGAAACTAATATCACTCACTGGATGACATTAGGAGTTTAAATTTGCTTTGTAGTCAAATCTTTTTACTTATTCTCCAGTTTTTGTACTTAAAATAAATTGTTTGAAAACTAAATTAATCGATATAATTTTCGTTTTGGACGAGATAGATAAAAATTGCATTTTTTTGCATGGCCACCTCGCTATTAAGTAAATTACATATAACTTATTTCAGATTAGAATATAAAAACCAGGAAAACCAAGATATTTAGAAAAATATACAGGGTGTTTCATTTAAAAAAAGTGAGATTTTTTAATGTGAAGTTTTGCAACTTTGGCTCTACCAAAAAAACACCCTGTAAGCTATTTGTTTAATGTTTAATAGTAGATGTTTGACTTTTACTTAACCCAGGATAAAAGATATAAAACCAGGAATCAAAATTTACTTTGTGGGCAACCCTGTATAATTCCACATACTTTTTAAATGTGGAGAATATTCAACTATATCATAATACAAAAGCACTATCGAAAAATCTTGTCTTCAATGGATTAAGTTACTCCGCGCAATCGTTGACTCACCCTGTACTTACGATTCATAGTTGTAGTTGACCCACTAGACAAATCCTGGTTGAGCTGCAAATATATCCAATGGCGGCTGGTAGAAATTCTAGCCAATGGTGGCCGAAAAACATGAGTACATATGTGACGCTATGTTGCTAGGAGATTAATGCGCACTGGTGTTTGAGCCCTGTAGAGCTGTACTTTCAAAACCAATTCCATATACAAACATAGCTTTTTATTGTATTAACTACTTTAACCTCATTCCTAACCATTTACTTAAGGCGAAGTTTTATTACTTTGGCGCCTATTGTAGGCTCTCTGTCTTCTTACCATAAAATAGGTACAAGATTTCTGAAAGTTCCTTTCTGGATACCTACATTTCGGCCATGGGTTTGTTCCATTTCGATTTGAGCACCAATCATCATTTCAACAGGATGGAGTAACTAGGCATACATCCCATTTTCCTAAACTAAAAAGGTATAATTTTTGCACCAATCTCGCTCACCTGATCTAACGTGGGTACAATTTTCTATAGCAATAGATGCTCTGACTAAAAGCGCCAGCAAATACCGGGAGCTTAATTTTTGGGATTTCCATTTTGGCATAAAGAATCGCTAAAATACGTATTACAAAACCTGTTTAATGGAACGGCGACGAAAACAAATTGTAATATCTTTTCGGAAATGCCTTCAAAATAAAACGTATTTTTATTTACCTAATTTGTTGATAAACACTTGACGATAAGATATTATTGTAAATAAACAACGCGACATTGCTGTCTATACGTAAATTCATCGACACACCTCCTCACTGCGTTAATACAACTTTTGGACATGCGATTTCGGAACATTTCGCATACAACTGGAGTAATTCTGCTGCATCAGGGAATTTTACATACACCCCCGGTCGTAAGTGCGTTCGATATTATCGAATCAGGTGATATCAAATCAAGATCAGGTATAACGCGATTACGTTTTATTTACAATGTTGGTTCTCAAAAAACAACGAGCATCATCGGATGAAAGTTCACCTAACATTTCCGCACTTAATAAAAAAGTACGAGTTTTATTCGAGAAGTAGCGTCTCGCTATATCTAATCTATGAATGAAAAATTCCATTATGATTAATCTAGAGCTAGACTGCGCGACGCTGTATCCAGTCATACAGTAGGTACCTATACGTTTATTTGTCGCGAACAAAGGAATTAAAATTTGCGCAATTTGAGTTGTTGTTGCTTAGTGGAAGTCTCACCAGCGTCAGTCATAAAACACGCTTAAAGTAGAATAGACGCAATTTATGTAAACGATTAACGTGCCGTAAATTAATCATAAATCGAGTTAGAAGAAAACACGCAGCTTATAATTAATTTTGGGTAAGTTTTTAATTGTAAATTAATTAAGACGACGAAATAGTTTGCGGGATGGCGCTCGCACATGTCCTCCCATTTACAGTTAATTCAAAAATTTGGACCGATGCTTTTAAGTCATGCACTTAATTAAAGATAAAAAGGTGATTTACCTCTTTTTTTAATTAAATTTATAATTAGGCATTCTGAATATATGTAGGATGTTATCGTGGTAGGAAACATTTTTTTAATTTCTGTTCTAAATTTGATTTTCACGCAGAGTATAATTCGTACCAGCCTGAAGTTACATTCGCTTTTTTTTTAAGGACATTCGCTTTTGGGGTAGTACCAACCTAAACGGGAAAACAAAAAATAACTAGGACCGGGCTGAAGTTACATTCGTTTTTTTTTTTTTTATCAATGGCCATCGAAAGTGATGGCACCGGGACCAATTCTCATCCCCTTTTCGGAAAATAGCCCTAAACCCCCGACAAATCCGTCCCCGAAGTTGACAAATTCCGCAAGTGAGTTAGTGAGTGAGTTTTGCACGCGGAGGATAAGGACGCCGTGGAGGCCCAAGGGCCCACCTAAAACCCCCTACCTGTAGTTTTTCGAAAAGTGCCCCACAGTTCGAGAAATTCCCTTTTGTTTGGTCAATGGCGCGGTATACGAATAATGCAAGTTGCAATTCAAAATTGATTTATTAAAATTGAGTGAGTTTTGCACGCGGAGGATAAGTACACCGTGGAGGCCCAAGGGCCCACCTAAAACCCCCTATCTGTAGTTTTTCGAAAAGTGCCCCACAGTTCGAGAAATTCCCTTTTGTTTGGTCAATGGCGCGGTATACGAATAATGCAAGTTGCAATTCAAAATTGATTTATTAAAATTGAGTGAGTTTTGCACGCGGAGGATAAGTACACCGTGGAGGCCCAAGGGCCCACCTAAAACCCCCTATCTGTAGTTTTTCGAAAAGTGCCCCACAGTTCGAGAAATTCCCTTTTGTTTGGTCAATGGCGCGGTATACTGCAAGTTGCAATTCAAAATTGATTTATTAAAATTGAGTGAGTTTTGCACGCGGAGGATAAGTACACCGTGGAGGCCCAAGGGCCCACCTAAAAACCCCTACCTGTAGTTTTTCGAAAAGTGCCCCACAGTTCGAGAAATTCCCTTTTGTTTGGTCAATGGCGCGGTATACGAATAATGCAAGTTGCAATTCAAAATTGATTTACTAAAATTGAGTGAGTTTTGCACGCGGAGGATAAGTACACCGTGGAGGCCCAAGGGCCCACCTAAAACCCCCTACCTGTAGTTTTTCGAAAAGTGCCCCACAGTTCGAGAAATTCCCTTTTGTTTGGTCAATGGCGCGGTATACGAATAATGCAAGTTGCAATTCAAAATTGATTTATTAAAATTGAGTGAGTTTTGCACGCGGAGGATAAGTACACCGTGGAGGCCCAAGGGCCCACCTAAAACCCCCTACCTGTAGTTTTTCGAAAAGTGCCCCACAGTTCGAGAAATTCCCTTTTGTTTGGTCAATGGCGCGGTATACGAATAATGCAAGTTGCAATTCAAAATTGATTTATTAAAATTGAGCGAGTTTTGCACGCGGAGGATAAGGACGCCGTGGAGGCCCAAGGGCCCACCTAAAACCCTCTACCTATCGTTTCATACGATCAGCGGTTCTTATTATCTTAGAAATTTAGATTTGTGGCCCTGTAAAGGGCCGTTTTTTATCAGCAGAACGCCGGCCGGCTAAGCCTTTATGGCACGTCTTATCTCGCGTTCCATGGCGCGCAACCCTAATACGTTGGGATGGATTCCGTCCGTGTCAAACCAATGGATGCCTGGCCGATGGAAAATTCGGTTTAGGTCAGCAAGAACTAGACCCTGTTTTTCAGCTAGAGCTGTAACAGCTTTGTTGATGGCGGCAACGTTGTGGTCACTTCTGGTTGTGCGTCTATTGGGTGGAATTGTGCACAAGACGATTCTTACGGACGGTTTCATCCGCTTGAAGTCCCGGATCAGCCACTTCAGCGTTCTTCTAAATTTCGGTTCGTGGAACTCCTTCCTCGCTGCGTCATTGGTCCCTATCATAATGACAGCGGTGTTCACGTCGCTGGGGATACTCCACACGCTTCCTTTTGCAGCTGAAGAACTCAAACGGCGCCTTAATTGATCAATTGTCTGCCCACCTACACACAATTCCGCACACCACTTTCCTTCTTCATTTTTGAAAGAGTTGATCTCACTCACTTTGCAGAGCATCCTTCGCAATATGCTGTCCCCCAGGTGAAACGTCATGATCAACTATCTCTCATCAACTGTTTCCAACGACTGGTTGTAGGTCCAAAATAAATTAATTTGAGATATGATATAATGACAGGGTCATTAGGTAACTGTCAATTATTATTTCAAGTACCGTACCTACTTAATTACTGATATGGAAATTACACATTCCAATTGTTTATGCAGTT